GAATGATAGCTGTCAATTACCTGACGGTCGTTCCTCTCTGGAGGGTATTGCCCCTGGGGTCCTCTGTGATGCTGAAAGAAGCAGCATCAGATTCCCAGATGTACTGCTTGTCATCATTGTGTTTGGATGTGACAATCACACGGTCGGCAACGAGGAACGAAGAGTAAAAACCAACACCAAATTGGCCAATGAGGTCACTCGCCTGATCGCTTGACTGAGCATCCTGAATATTGAACAATGAAGCTTGAGGTAAGAAAACCACACAATGCAAGGCCAAGATAACACTGAAAATAATAAATTCTACTACAATGCAATAAGTTTTTAGGCTAAGTTCTTACCGCCATCTTCTGGAAAAACTCGCTTGTTCCTGACTTGGCAATGGTACCCAAGTTTTTGACCAAATCGTCCTTTGTCATACCAATACCAGTATCAGTAACATGAAGAATGTTGTTCTCTTTGTCCGCTTTGATCTTAATGGAGAGTTCTTCTGTAGCAGCAAGGGCTGATTTATCAGTAAGACTCAAGAATCTAATCTTGTCCAAGGCATCAGACGAATTGGAAATAAGTTCTCTCAAGAAAATCTGGAAAAAAGAGAAGCAGATTTTGTAAAAGCCACCACTTGTAGTACATACATAAAATTCATGTTACTCTTTGTTACTCTTTCTCACTATTTATTACCCGGCTCTGCATCAAAGTTGAGTTTTGATGTTTCAGGGAAATGTTACATGTACTACAGTTCAACCCCTATTAAACGGCCACCCTCAGGAACACATGTACAGATATACTGTATGATATTTTTCCAGCAAACTTTCAACTGTTCAAAATCTGTAGGCTATACCATTGTCTTACCTCTTTATTTCTGTACAGGGAGTTGATAATAAGCTTCATCATTCGACTAACTTCAGCTTGGAAAGCAAATTTCTCTGCTTTCTCCCTAAGTTCCTTCATCTGTGCTACATTCAAACCATCAAGTTTAATGGCTTCCTCCTCCCTCTGAACAGCCTCGTCATCAGTCTTTGATCCGTCTCTACTTTTGCCGACATCTTCATCTACAGTAGGTGGTTCTGTCTCTGTTTTCTCATCTGTCTTATCCTCTTCGGCTAAACACAGAGCTGAAAGATAGAAAGAAAAATTAGTATTTATAAACACATGTCAAGTATGACCATAAATTTAACTCTGTTTCCCCGATTGGGTTTTTGTCCTGTTAATTAATACAAAACAAGAAATTGATGAAACAAAAGTTGATTGTTTAGTTCGTTACTTGCTGTTGAAAATGGAGAAATTTTAGGTAATCAAGCTACATGTACATGTACAGGTCACTGACTCTTATGACAAAGACCCACATGTCAAAGACCCTGATGGAATTGTATTTTCAAGTTTAATATTATTATAGGTGCATTGAAGCAGCAAACAATGAATATCTAGCAAAAAAGACTACATTCAGTGTATTGAAGCAACAAAAATTGAAAATCTAGCAAAAAGAACCTAGATGACTTTAAAATGATGGAATTGTATTCACAAGTTTCATAATAATATAGGTGCACTAAAGCAATAAAATTGAAAATCTAACAGAGAAAAACTAGATGACTTTAAATTGATCACAATTTAACTGTAGATGACATTATCATGTTTAATTGCATGGAAACAATAAGCATTCTTATATGCTATTTACTAAAACGTGTACATCTGCAAAAAACTTTGGAAGCTGAGTAAAGAAACAAACAAAATACCACCCGCAAAAGAGAACTGTATTATTCATCACAAAAAGTTAAAAAAGGTACTACAATGTTGAAATTATTTCAATCCAAAAGAGGCATGGAAAATGAAAAGTCATTTAACTGTTGAGAAAACAATTAAGCAAACTGGTAGATGAATTAAATTTTAAATTCTTTCTCAAGTGGCTAAATAGTCTCTAAGCACTCTGTTCTTGGATATGGAAGACATATCTGGCCTAATCTAATTGGCTGACAACAAGCAGCCAATCAGAACTTGCCATATAACCAGGACAGATTTTTAAAATCTTGAAGTGTCAGTTTTTGCAATACCTCATGGAATGTAATACATTTAGACTTTCCCCTAAAATTTTGCTTTACGAATTGTTTGAAAGCTGAAAACTGTATTCAGAGGCAGTTCCAATGGAAAAGGTTTAAACTTATTCTTTCTAAAATGGTGAGAGAAAAATTTGGTTGGAAAAATCGTGAAGCACGAAGCGATAGAAAACGTTTTCTGCTAGAGTTTTCGAAACTGATTAAAATAATTTAAATGCAGATTGTCATTCTTAATATAGATTTTTATGGATATTTCATTGCGAACAAAGAAATCTGATTGAAGTGAATAGTACCTTATTCAATCGATAAAAATCAATTGTATGAACTTTTCAATCGAGGTAAAAGTAACAACACTTGTAGGCCAACCGACAGTCTTTAAAATCTAAACTGATCTGCAGCTCCATGACATAGTTCGTAAATTTTAGAGCTCATATTCTAACAGTAGGCATATAAGAGAAGACAATTGCTCAAAAGGAAATTCAACTCTCACTAATTGATAACTACAAGTGGAATGAAGATCGAAACTGGTTACGTTACGCCATAAGATTTTTTCAAATGACCCAAACAAATATTGGATGTTCTTGCATTCAAGGAAAACCGACGGAGATCTGTGCTGAACATCTGAATCGAAGTATCGTTTAAATTTTCTTGAAATTTAAAGCTTTGAACCCAGTTTAAATTCTCCATCAGGACCATCAGTCACGACAAGGAAGCTTGCAAAACTTTAAACTTACTTGTGCAAAAGAAAAAGCAAAAAGAAAGTTAAAAATACACTTACAAGAAATTAGAAGGAGCCCCAAGAGGCTTAGAAGGTACGTTTTTCTCCCCATTCCTTGAAAACCAGCCGCAACAGCTGAAACTGACAGCGAAAGGATAAAATCTGTGCAAAACTTTCTAGCGAAACTGCAGCTTTCAAGCGATACAAACCAACCAGGACTTACCACGGCCAAAGCTCGTGTCTCGTGCTCATTGGTTAATTTTAGTCACGTGCTTAACGTGGAGCGCTTCCATTGGTTAATTTTTGGCTGCAAACTCATTGATTCCCGCGGGTGAGCCTTCGCTTTGCGCCAAAAATTTCCCAATAGTTGTGAGAATTTATAAATATTTCTGTAAACTAGCAAAAAATATTCCGTTATTTCTAGTATGAGGTAGTTTGAGAGAAATTGCAAGTTTTGGTTGACTACCATCTATACACAAAGTTAAATTTTAAACTTTCTATATTTATTACAGTAAAAAAAACTTGGAATAAAAGTTCTGATTGAATTATATTCTCTCTTCTACTCGCCATGGTTTTCCCTGGCTCCCCAGCGGTTTTGTACTGCAAAGAAACACGATAATTGAGCCGGTGAATTTCCACGACCGTTTTGTGGTACAAGAAACTTTCAGTGCTGTGGGAAATCGTATACTCTTTTTTCAAATTATCATACGATGTGCTAGATGTTTACTTCTGTAGTTTTTCTGTGCTAAATTTGAAGTTGCAGAAATTTTGTCGCGCTTGCAGTACCGCAATTCACGTGGACGATTTTATGGAAATTTCATTGAAGATGTCAAAAAACTGGATTGTACAAATCGTTTTAGTTGCAAACATTTTATTCTGTAGTGGTCTTAGATCAGCTGCCAGGGAAAAGAAAGCGAAATGTCCAACGTGTACTGACATTGTAGACGCTTTTAAAAAGGTAAATAGTTTTAGCTTATCTGACCTGTCTAATTATAACATCAGGAAAATAGGTTAATATTTAATCTGTGCACGTTTTGAAATTTGATGTTATGGATATCGTTTTATGCTTTGGCACCTTGCTATTGTGAATAGAACCAATTCATCACTTTGTTGCAAGCTTTAAATTTTAGAAATTTTTCATTGCAAATATCAAGTTGTTTGCCACTTCTTAATCAGATGACAAGCTGAGTTCTGAAATTTTCAGTGTTAAAACAATAACTATTTATTTGGGTTGAAAATATGCCTGGATGTTAGTCTGTGGACATTACCGGTTTGTGTCCCAAGAAGTGAAAACTGTGAGTTTTAGAGTGCACTTCTTTGGGATGATCATGGTCAGGGTCAGTGGTCTAAGATGACTTGGATCATAGCGCATCAAATTAAAGGAGCCATTGAATCCATGACCAGAGTGGATTCATCAGTTCCTGGGATGCACCATGACCTGAGTGATCTTAGATCACTGATCCAGACCCGGGTCATCTCAAAGGAACGCATCCTTAGTTCAGGGTCAGTGATCAGAGATAACTTGGATCATAGTGCATCAAATTAAAGGAGCCATTGAATCTGTGACCAGAGTGGATTCATTTGTTCCTGGAACACACCATGATCTGAGTGATCTTTGATCACTGATCTTAACCTGGGTCATCAAAAAAAAAAATGCATTCTTATTTGAAGTGTTGACAACATGATGCACACATGCAGACTTGTATGCATGCATACATGCCTGCCATCCAGTACTCTGACAGTCAAACAATCAAAACTAGGATCAACTTTTGCAGTTTTAATCCCAATAAAAGTGAATACAAGTTGCAGGGAGTCAACACTATCTTATTTGAATAAATCAGTGGAAGCTGGGAGTCATATTAAGTATTTATATTCATTGCATGGTGTTCTGTTTCTCATTTTACACCATAGGGTAAAGATAAAACAGAGAAAGCTAACTTTGGTGGGGGAAACACAGACTGGGAGGAAAGAAAACTAGGAAGTTATGCAAATAGGTATGTTCTGTAAAGGCTCTAACCTGCGATATGGAGTTCTTATTCTATTAATAAAACAACATCCCTATGTGTTCTAGTCACTGGCCTCAAAACCCTAGCGGCAAGACAGTCAGGGAAGCAGATTGTAGATGCCGAATTCCAACCAGTCTCTGAGACCAAACTGATTCCACTGTTTTCTTCTTAAAGTTTTTTTGTTCTTCTTTTGTTTCTTTCCTCTTCTTCTTCTTGAATTTGTTAATTCAACTGGTTGAGTCATGATGGTCTGACGACTTTCAAAGCTCTCTTGAGTGCTTGTGTTGTACTTGATTGGGCAGTGTTGACTTTGCTTTTATTCTTATATTAAAAAAAAGTATTTTTTTTTCCTTTACCAGTGAAACAAGATTAGTTGAAATTATGGAAGGGCTTTGTGATGAAAGTGCTTCTGAGGTATGTTTCTGAAGAAAATTTTATTTTTTCATGTCATTGTTTGGCTTATATTTTCAATGATTTTTATTAATAATTGATTGACACTACCTCTTAAGCAGTTAGCCATAAGTAGTGGTGCAAATTGTCATTTTTATTTTTAATTATTTAGTGCCATGCAATGGTTGAAGAACAAGAAGAAACGTTAGAGGAATGGTGGTTTGATCAGTAAGTACCATAATTATTAGTATTTTTATAAGCCCCAGGGAAATGAAATTTTTTGTAGGGGGGGGGGGG